GTAGTTCAGGACCATGCTTTAGGCATAAAACCTGTCGAAGAAAATGAAAGAATATCCTATTTTACTCATGCGTACTTTTAGCTTATAAGACGGATCTCTAACCGCTGATTTACTGTGCACGCCAAGACATTCTCGAGAGTGTATTCACCATCGCTGTTGTTTGGACCCACCGACTGCTGTTGCATCAGCAAGGTTTAAACGGCAGATATTTCGACAGCGACAACCAAATGCATCCTTAACAATAACTGTGAATTATTATAAACCCATACTTCGATCAGGTCCGTGATGACATATGTCTTTCGACACTGTTTCATTTGTGGCAAGAAACTGTCACGTCATTCTGATGGCACATCTGCTACCTTACTGAGGAAACTTTTTTTCTTGCTTTTCTCTATTTCCTCATTTTCTTTCTTGTCTCCTCCTTCGTCTTACCTTTTTTCATCTTTGTCATCTTCTGTGCTCCAAACTTTGCATTTTACAAAATACCCTAATTTTAAGATGAGAGGGACGAGTTCTTAAACTTGAACTTAAACACCTCGACCCCATTCTGGTAAGGTGCTTCGGGAGAAGAAGTCAAAGTTACTGTTAAAGTTAGTGTCTCCGTTGAAGCTATTCTCGCCTCGCTCTGTCGCGAGATGGCGCCCGACCGTTTAGGCGCATGAAGAGTAGAGGGGATTAATTAAAGCTCTATTAAAATCTTTCATCGACCCACTGCTGGATGAAGGCCTATGCACGAATTTATCGTAGGATCCTGCCTTCCGCCTACCTATGAGACCATATTCGTTGGCGATTTTGAGAATGAAAGGACAGTTCAGTTTTTGGTCAAGCTTCACTTCTGAACTGCGATTATAATGTCAGAATGATAGTAAATTTTGAGTTATTCACCATCGACTATTAATAATCTATATCTGTGTCATAATCTTATTCCTCATCATCGCCATTATGAACCCTTTTCATCTACTGCTCGATGATGGCTTCTTCAACGCTTTGCCATAAACCTGTTTTCTGCCATTTCTATCCATAAATGTTCATCACTAAATGTCTTCATTTCTTCCTGCAATCGATCTTAAGTCTTCCCACGGACCGGACCGGTTACCATCTCTCGGAACCCATTGTAATATACTGTAGTCCGGCGATGTTCTATTCTTCTTGCAGCGTGCCCTACTGAATGCCGTTTCAACTTCTTTGCCGTTGCAGTGATACAGCAGACCTCTGTTTTTTGGCCTTGCCTATCCGTTTGTCGTCTCGTACCTTCTCTTATCCTCAACATACGTATTCCGTTGCCGCGTTACACAGCTTGTAGCTTCTGAACAATTTTTGCTTTCAGAGTTCACGTTTCGCTATCCACCGGCAGCACCCTGTGATTGGCAGATTATTTGTGCATATAATCATGCCGGTTTGTTGCTTGTTCATATTACAGGCGACTTACGGCGGTAGTTAAAAGAACTGAGACTCGATAGAAAACGATTTCTGGTAAACTACAGGTTCTTTTTCGTGCGTCACCTCTCTCTCTCTTGACTAGGGTGTAAATGGTGCTGAAGAAACTGCCGGAAAGACGATGCACATAAAATCAATATTTTAAACTCAAATGACCTATGCTGGCCTTCAGAATCTGCATGCCAGAGCAGACTTCATTACAGCATATTTTCTCTGATTGTTTCGATGGTCTGTCATCAACGTCACAGATGTAGTAGTACAGTACGTAACTTTCAGGCAAAGTACGAGACAAATTAAATTAACGAATCTGTACAACTCGGTTTCAGAAGATTTCTACAGAAATTCAATGCAAGGCTTTAATTCTCTCTAGCGCTTACAGTCCGTCTGTGACAGCTTAGAAATATGGTAAAATGTAAACATTAATCTGACAACGTTTCGAAGAGCATTATCGATGAGTTTAAAAGCATGTGGTTCCTAGGTACGAAAAACCCACTTGGATTGCTCCTGTCAAGTAGATATTTGTAGTGTCGCATAAAGAAATAATATCATGCCTAGAATGAGTAACAAATCAAACATTCTCAAAGTTAAATGATTATTTTAGAGAACTTCACAGGACCTCTTAGAGAAATAAACTTTTTAGGTCAATGCAATTCTGTACTGCAAAGTTGGCAATGTATCTACTTATTACGATAACATTTTTAATGCTGTATTAATCCATCATGATAGCCTTTAAAGAGATATTTCCTGCAGATTAAGCCAAGTAAAAATTATCATGCAGACAAACTACATACCCGCATTAATAATTTATGAACTGATTTTAAATCTACTGCCACATTTTTATTTCATCAACTCTTTGCCTCTTATGTGTTATAGATCATTCGAGCGTCATAAATATTAGCTTCCCGAATTTTCTAAAGTAAAATTTATGCTGCCCTGTTATATTTCGAATCGGCGGAGTTTATTTCACGTTTCCTTAAATCTAGGAGGTTAACAGAAGTCGATGTCAAAATATGAGGAATGGGACGAAGTTTTGCGCCTTTGGTGCGTATCAGTAATTGAGTAGTGCATAGCGTTGTCGGAATTGTACGTCTTCCTGTGAATGACCATGAGTCTTGTATGTGCTGATACAGGAAGCAGCTCATTTTACGTTAAGTACACAGAATTGAATCGATCGCTGAGTCTTGAAAGTTGCAGCTGCGTCAAGGAGGAGAAAGTCATGTGAGGGAATGTACTAAACGGCATGTACTGTACCAGGCAGTCAGTTTCGATGACCGCTTATCCCTTCGGTTCGCGGAGGCAGATGAATTGGGCGCTTCGGCAGCAGACTACCCAATCAGAGTCTGTCGAGACACTTGCCCAACATAATTCTTGGCCGACCCCTTGATCTTCGGCCGGTCGATTTGGCATGCAGTAGTTGTTTTGCCTTTGTTGCTGAACCAGTTAGCAACGCGTGCCGAAATCACCGCAGCGGTGACGGTCTGGACTCAGTCTGGAAAGGCAGCCGCTGTAACCACGGTTCTGTCGGACGTCCGTATTCCGGACCATGTCTAGACTCGTGAGGTCAGCGACTCGTGAAAATGGCTATTTCAGCAGCTTGTACCTGGGATCGAAGTTTTTTGGTCAGAGCCCACGACTCATGACCATTGATGAGCATGAGGAGGAAGATCGGCTTGAACACCGAGAGCTTGGTCTCCAGATTCGGACAGAACGTCACTGGCAATTACTATCCGCCGGCCGATCTCTTCCTCTAATTTTCCATCAGTGATAAATACGACTCTGAGGTACTTGATCTTCTCCACCTGCTCCACTACCTCTCCGTTAATCTAAAGAGGGCAATGGGAAGGAGAACGAGAAAGCACTAGGCACTAAGCACTTTTAGATCCGGTCACACGCCTGCCGGTCACGTGGCACTCGCTTGCGAACCTTTCTATAGAGCACTGTAGATCAGTTTCAGAACATGCTAAGAAAACAAGGTCGTCTGCAAACATCAACCTTCTCGTCTTAACATCTCCTACACCGATACACTCATTGTTTTGGCCCATCCTAACCATTCTTTGCATGTACAACACAAACAGGAGAGGGCGTAAAATGCAGTCTTCGCCGAAAACAGTGCGATGCTGAAAGTTCTCGAAATGATGTCATTTCCTCAAAGGCAGCAACTGCCATTAGCGTATAGTGACTAGATGGCTTGTATCCGTGTGTCCATAGATGCCATGTGTTTGCAGGCATGCCCACCGTTTGTTGCTTGGAATCTGGTCATAGGCCTTCTCCAACAGGGCACATGCATCCAGCACGAGCGAAATTTCATCTTTTCTCATCTATCTGGCGTAAGGCGACTATCTTACCACAGGTGCGTCGGTCTGACCTGTAGCTGTACTGCTCTTCTTGTATCTTGAGTTCATTTATTTCGCGCCATCTCCTTTCTAGCATCTTTGCGTAGACTTTACCAGAGAGGCTCAATAACGTAATGCCCCGATGATTGGAGCACTCGCTGTGGTCTTCCTTCTTGAACAGGGGTACAACAGACCCGTTCTCCAGTCTGCTGGTGTCTTCCCCTTAGCCGCTGCAGGTTAGCAGACGCTTGCTATGAAGTAAAGCGCTTAGGCGATAAGTGATTGACGTAAAGTGCTTAAATTCTGAACGTTGTAAACCTAGCCATTTGTACACGTGTAAAATTCTGCAAGGCTGAACAGGAATATAAACTGC